CTCTCTGGCTGCAGTTGCTGTTGCACAGGTTTTTTTCCCCCTTAACTATGTTATCCCAGAGGCGCTACCACCATCACTGATGGGCCCGGCCTTGGCCAGCAGCGGGTCCATCCTGGAGCCGGTGGCATTGGCTCTATCAGACATAAGGGAAGCTTCTAGCAGCTTCTCACAGAAGCCACCCCTGTAGCCCTCCCCGCTACCAAAACCTTGCCACACAAACCCAATACAGCTGCAGAACAAGATAATTTATTTTCTTGAGGTTGCTGGTATTAATGTTTATACAAGTGAAGCCACCTAACACTTTGAGGCCACAATATTTCGGTATGCCAGGGAGATAGCATTGTTCTATTGCAGAACTGTGGTTGTATGAAGAACCAAAGCAAGATTTTTTTCTTTGTTCCCAAATAAGAAATATAATCAAGACCACCTGGTATTTCAAGAAGAAGTATGGATTTCTGTCACACAGTGGCAAATTACACTTTTATCCTTTTCTTCAGGAGTGTATCATTGACGAAGACTGTGAAACAGGGAAATATTGCCAGTTCTCCACCTTTGAATACAAGTGTCAGCTCTGTAAAACCCAGCGTACAGTAAGTCCTGAATGAGATGTGATTTTATGTGGTCTTTAGAAACTCAATCTGTAAGTTATCGTTGCTAATGTCAGCAAGTCAAAACTGACAGAAAATAAGATGCAAAGCTTTCTGCCTGTTAACACAATTAAATTATAAGGATTCTGTTCTCATATGCTTTAAAACCTACACTCTGTTACTCCTCACTCAAGCTTGACTTGTTAGGTGACCTAAGGGCAGCGTAAACTAACACACTGTAGGTTGCCAGTGGAATGGGCAAAGAGGAAATACTGTGCCAGCTCCTAAGGCTCAGCTGACAGTTGGTCACTTCCAGCTCTTGATTCCCAAAGAGAATTGCAGCAGCCTGCTCTCTTCCCTTCACTGACAACTTGTACAACGCTGTAGTGCAATTGTTACTGTAAATGATCCTCTTACATGGATCATTTACATTATTTGAATCTGTGAACCTCAGGAAGCAGTAAATTCCTGTCTTTTGAGCTAAAAGATAAATGTTCTTGGTAGTAGCTATGGTTAGATTACCTTCTGTAGGCGACAGCTACCTGAGAAATTCAGGCTTTTTCTGTGGTGAAAAATCCACTTTAAGAGCAGTCTGTTGAAAAAAGGCCTTTTATCTGACTGTCCCTTTTCATCTAAGTTCTGCTGATGGTCTCTTGTGAAACAAATTCATTCCTCAAAGCATTTGCAGACATTTAAGTCTACAAGCAAGCAAACCTTGCTGTAAAGTCATGTAATCAATAGGATTATTATAATTGAAAAGCACTAGGCTGTTCCTGAAATGATTTAAATACTTCAAGGAGCTCTATTGGCTTCAGCAGACTGAATGCTTGCTTAAATACAAGTCCTGAATATATGCTCAAGTGTCATTAAGAAAGCTTATTCTTCATATTTTAGAAAATATTAAAATGACAATTTTTCTTGTTAACATAGAATGATTAAAAATCAAGAGTGGGATGACCTAACACCTACCCCCCCACACCTCAGTAGAACATTTGTAGGATAAAGAAGGTAAAAATTAGGTCATAGCTACACTCCTGTTGTAAAATGAGCTCAGACTGAAGGTGGTGGGATCAATTCCCTGACCTAGAACCCCCACAATTACAAAACATTTTTCTTTTTGCTTTGCTCTTTGAAAGCAATCCTTCTGAACAAATTGTAAATTCCTGACTGCATTTAACAATGGGAAAAAAAACCAGTAATGTTTTCCATTGATAATGTTTCATTTATTAATTTTTGTTTTCCTTGTTTGCCAAAGACTGTCCTGAAATCCATATTACGCTGTAGGGTATCTGGCTACTGATCGATTTTCATATAAATGCCAAAATAAGAATTTAGGGTTTGTAAGATTGAAAGTGTAATAGTATAGAAAGAGTGCTGTTACTCTGCTGCAGAGGTTCCTGTCTGGCAAATAGTTCTATGTATGCTTGAAGTTGAGAAGCTAAGCAGTTCTGTGTAAACAGTGGGAATATGACATGCATATAGTTAAAGCACATATATGCAGTTGGCTTCAGGACGAGGGTCTAATTCTATGTTTAGCTGTCTGTTGATATTTGCAGCTAGTGCTACAGTGACAGCTTTGTCACGTGCTTTTTCCATTTGCAAGCATTGCTCACGGGATGTTGAATGCTGTGGAGACCAGCTTTGCGTTTGGGGCGAGTGCAGGAAATCCACTTCAAAAGGAGAGAACGGCACCATTTGTGAGAACCAACACGACTGCAACCCTGGAATGTGCTGTGCTTTTCAGAAAGGTACAGAGGTTTTGCTTTTTGTCGTATTCATTTTTAACACAGGAGTGTTAATATTTAGCTCTTTTGCCCAGGTGAAGTGGTTAAATCTCTACAGAATCAATAGGTCATTCTCCCTTGGCCTGTGGAGCGCACCGTGTTAACTTCATTATAAAACTTTAATAGAATTAGGAGTGAGAAGCAGTCTGATAGGGGTGCACAATGGTGAAATAAAGGCCTAGTGCATGCTAGAGATGAGACAAGCATGAGAAGCACAAAAATCTACTGTTTCTAAAGGAGAGTCTCAGGCATTTAAAAGTAGCAGAGCTCTGTGTCAAATTTTCACCCATTAAAAATGTGCAAAAGAAATTAATGAGATTACTGAAAGTGGCTTCTTCATATCAGCAAGCAGATCATCAGAATCAGACCATAGATACATTTCATACTCCAAGTTTTATATCAGCCTTCCAGGGCACCACACTATGCAATACTGACTAGCCAGCCAAGGTATGAGAGGAATGATTATGTCATCCATAACATAACATTCCAGATTATGTTGTCAATCAACATGGGAATGTGAAACTTGATTTACAGAAGGGCAGAGAGGAGGAGAAGGTATCAGGCTTGAAATCAGTCCTAAATCCTGCCTGGTCAGGCCCAGCTTCTTCTACTGTTTTATACCCAACTAGTTCCTCGCTGCTTTTATCATAGTTCACCTTAATTTTGTAGTGACAGGAAACGATTCCAACCATCTTTCTACACCAGGTAGATACTTCTCTAGATAGCTTTTTTCTTGGCTCTTGCCGTGAGCAAGAGGTGACCTTGTGCCTTCACTGATGGTTGGGCTGCCTGACCTGCCTTCAGCCTGCTGGTGGATCAGGCTAGTAGGGCATTTCAGGAAAACAAAGGAGAAAGCTCAAACACCATATAAAGGCAAATGAGTCTGCTCAGCTTTTCCTTGTTAATTTTGAGCATTACATAGTGGACCTTCGACATTAAGTAAGCTCAATTTCAGCAAGTTTTGGTTAGAGCAGGTTTCCCCCCCATCAGGTTTCTGCCTAAAGCAGGTTTTGCCAAGCTCTATCAGAGATTTCTTTGTACTCTGATTCTGAAATGAGACAGAAAGAACACTTTTAATAAATGCCTATTACTTTCACTGTGCAGGACTTTGAATCTGCTTATGCTGCAGAGATGAGTAAATTAGTAGTATGCATCCCATTATATTGGTGTTAGTAGCACTAGGCTAGTCTACTGTGAGGGTAATACTGCTTCTGTAGCCCTGATTTCCTATGGGATACAAACAAGCTGTGTCTTCATAATGATTAATTCAGCTGCATAAGACATTCACACTAATTTAAGTTAGTGCTTGGCTTGAAATGAAATTTAGTACAAACCTGTAACTCAGGACAGAACAATACAATAGATAAGAATATTGACTAAAATTGATGGAACACTTATTAAAACTTTAAATAAAGCTATTATTAATAGCAATGGATTTTTATTCTCGATGGTTATCTGCTTTAGCAGTGCTTTAGGGTTTTCAGGTTAGGCCTAACCTCAAGGCCTTTCTCCATCATTAGAATATTGCAAAAGGTTGTCCTAAAAAAGATTGGACTGTCTTTACTTGTATATTTTTTATATAAAACCGTAGTAAACTATGGAGTATTTGCTGCTTAAGATATCAGTTCCTAATTCCAAAACAGATTATAAGTCATATATATTAAAGCATATGCGTGTGTCTGTGTATATACACACATATATATATATTTTGACCAAGCCTGTTTGAAAAACTTATATTCTGAACTCTTCACATATTTTATTCTGCCATACCACAAAGAATGAAGTGAATGAAGACAAGAGGAGGAAGGGACGTTAGATAGGAACATCTGGAAGAGCTGAATTCAAGGCTGACGCTATAAGTTACTAGCGTCGGGAAACCCAAATGACATATCCTTCTAAATAATTTCTTACAGAAGTTGAAATTCACCCCTGTGCAGAAACAAGGGTGCCAAACCCCAAATGCCATCAGACAGCTTTGCCTATTGTAGAATTACTATAACAAATTAAATGGCTGAGTAGTTGTTCTTGTAACCTCACTAGTCTCTGAACAATTGCTCTGTATTTGGAAAGTCTGCAAAGAAATAGAATAGGAAAAATAACAGAGAGAGTTCTAAAATATAGCAATATTTCTCTATTCAGATTTTAAACCATTAATGCTATGCATTGCAAAGGATTCAACATAATGTTAGTTTTCGTGGGTTTAGAACAGTCTTTCAAATCTCCAAAGGATGGAGTTAGCAGTACTACTGCATTGACAGTAGTGAAGAAGCAGGAGTTGGTCTTGCTCATTAAGCATGAACTTCAGATGTCTTACTCCCATCTAGTGGAAAGAACATTAAGTTATGGCTCCCTAACATGCAAGGGGACTTAAAAGGAGGTCAGGTCTGCCTTTTTATATCTTGCATATAGACTTAAAGGTTAGGTCATCTCAGTTGAGCAGACAGTTAACGACTTCTCATAAAATTAATTTACTCTGGCATGCAGAACTACTGTTTCCTGTGTGCACTCCATTACCTGAAGAAGGTGAACCCTGCCATGATCCTTCAAACAGACTGCTCAACCTGATCACCTGGGAACTGGAACCTGATGGAGTACTTGAGCGATGCCCATGTGCAAGTGGCTTGATCTGCCAACCTCAGAGGTAAAGATCAAAACTGGGCAAGCAAGCTGCTTGAAATTTGTCAGGGGTCTCTTTCTGTGATAAATAGATGCAGAACTTGGAGATTCTTCCACACTAGAAAGTGTTTTGACAGCTTTTCTCATCAGTAGCACTGAAACTTTCTCAGACTTACTGCTTTGTCCCACATAGATGTGCCCAATTGAGTTTGGCAACACCATCCAGTGTGAATTAAGTTTGTGTATCAGGCTGGTACTGCTTTTTAATCAGTCAGAAAGTACTAACAGCTGTTGAGATGTATCATTGCAATTTAATTTTCTACATACAGCTCTTTTCCACTAACTTTCTATGTCAGATTGAGCTTCTGTTAGACGTTTTGCTTGCTTTCACACATAAGACATTTTAGTACATGCAGTAAGTATAAACATGCACATTCCTGTACTATTGATCAGCTTTACAGACGGTCACTTCTATCACAAGGGGGGGGGGGGGGAGGGGAGGAGATACCTTTGCTTGCACTTTCCTTCAGTTTCAAACTAACCCGAGAAGCCAGTTTCCCTGCAGCTGACTTAAGATCTGCGTTCAGACTTGAAACACTTAATACTGTGCAGACTTCTTCAGTATCAAGTTTCACGGAATAGGAAGCAGGCTGACTCCCAGTTTTCAGCTAGAAGCTAAAACTTTTAATATATCATGCCTTTAATTGTTCTTCAAAACGATGGGTATTTGCATTATCAGCGATTTCATTGGGATAAAGTGAGATCATTTCAGTTTTGCACTAAAAGCATTTTTAGAAAACCTACATGTTATCTATGAAATAAGCTGTCCAAGTTTGTTCCTACACTACCATTTTCATTATATTAACTTTCAACAAGACAGCATAGCTGTGATAGAGATGTAGATTAGTATTTCTCTCTTCTTCTGTATCCAACTCTGTTTCTACTTTTTTTCATGCATGAAAAGTAACTGGATAACATTTTGTTTCATAAATGTGATCTAAGGAAGCAAGCACAGTTATCCCATCCTTTCAGCACCAAAATTTCAGTTAATATGCAAGTACCATTAACCTCAGGGAAGGTAAGTCAGCAAAAGTCATGTCTAGTAAGAAGGAAAACATTTCAAATGAGGCTACAGAAACACAGAAATTAATTAGGGTGTGAATATAACTGAACTGTCTAGCTATAGTCACAAGAATTATTTATCTATTTAGGGTTATCACAAATACAGTAATACTGTGTATACCACTTGCCCGTGACTCGCATGGACAGTAAGATAAAGCTGCTTCTGTGAAGCATGGTGAACTTGAAGATTCAGATAACATTTTTTATTAAAAGAAACAGCCCATCTCTGCTTGAAATGGTCCTTGGCTAAATATTATTAGTGAGTGAAACACACTGGAACTATCAGATTATATCCTAGAGAATATGGGCATAGTCTGCCCACAAATGAAAGTCTTAGAACTCCTAGAAAGCAAAAGATACAAGAATTCAAAATGTACACAAAATAAGCCTCAGGAACATCTTTAGTTCATTTACCCTTTGTTTCCAGTGAAAGAGGCTGCAGCTTTAAGCAGTTGTTGAGGGGTGCCTGGCACAAGCAGTAGTCACCTTGCACTCTGTCACAAGGACCTATAGCCCTGGTCTGTCCCATGCAGTGCAGAGATAGTGGATGCACCGTGATCAGGTTCTATTCCTCTGCCTCCTGTCAACAAATATAAAAATTCTTGTTCCCTTTTAAAGTTCCTACAACAAATGTGGGATGTTTGTTTGCAGGCAATTGAAGCCACTTTTCAGAACAAAGACAGCAGCAAATACAGCTATTACACTATCCTATTTAGAACCAAATATATAATGCTCACAGTTCACTCAACTCTACAGCTTGATGGCAAACAACATTTTTTCTGCATTCCTTTTAAGCTGGAGTATCCTGTTTCTTAACTTGGCATCATGACATGAACAGAAAGGACTAGTAACCATGATTGCTTATAGGTAGAAGGGCCAGATTGTGCTGAGGTCCACTGCCATCTTGTGTCCCAGTATCAAATGTTTTTTTCTATTAGGATCTTTGTTCTAGCTCTGTATGTGGAAGTCTCATCTTTAACTCTCCAGCTGTCAAGCATGTAAAAATCAGATGTTTATGAAGTCAGCTATGGTAGATCTGACAGTATTAGGCAATTTAACATGCTTTCATGTGGGGAGGGAATGAATAATTTTATTAAGGAACTAGCAAAAGAACATGAAAAGATGTACTATATGACCAGATGTCTCTCTTTTTCCAACAGCCACAGCACTACATCTGTGTGTGAACTGTCTGCCAATGAAACCAGGAATAATGAAAAAGAAGATCCTTTAATCATAGATGAGATGCCCTTTCTCAGCTTGATACCCAGAGATATTCTTTCTGATTATGAAGAAAGCAGTGTCATTCAGGAAGTACGTAAAGAATTAGAAAGTCTGGAGGACCAAGCAGGTTTGAAGCCTGAGCCTGACTCGGCTCAAGACCTGTTTCTGGGAGATGAAATTTAAAGTTCAAACACCAGACAGTTTCGTTAGTTATTTCTAGAAATTTTTGTCTAGTGTCTTGCTTATATAAACCCTAAACACATACTGCTGGATAGAAGTGCAATAAACAAGGTCTTCAATGGGCATCCTTTTCTGTGCACCAAACCTGCATGTGCAAATTATTGTTGAATTCATTCAACCCTTGGACTAAACCTTGTGTCAAAAACAAATGAGAAATATATCCGTGTTTCCTCTGGATTAGTACTGTCCCCTTGTACATTAGAAATAAACTTATCAGTGCTTGTACTCATTAAAAAATACACATAAGCATAAATAATCTTAAGTTATTAGTGAACCGCAGAAGTGAATTTTCAGTACATGTGTTCAGAATCTTACCCTTTTTCTAGGGTAAGAACCATCTATTTCGGACTGTTTTAGTCATTGATTTTAAGCAATTTTTTATTTTTTCTTTAGAAAATATAATCATAAACATATAAACATACAGATTCTGGGTGTCATGTCCCCCCCACCACACACATTGTGGAAGGATGGAAAAGATAAAGGATGCTTACCCTTTTAGATGAATATACCCAGAGCTGCTTTTCAGCTGTGTACAATGGACGCCATCTGTCCTGCAGCAGCCTTCAGTGTAACTTAAGAACTGGTGTTCCATAGCTAGAGTATCCCTTGAGTTTTATACTTTCATATACAATGGTTGTTGGCCTCCCACACTATATAAGGGGCATACTATCAAAAAAAAGCCTACAACATTTTCCATATAAATAACAAATAGTTTGTACATACTTACATCCATATAACACATTCGTTTCTACATAGGAACTTTCAACTTCACTCTTCAGGGCTCTATCTCTCAAGGGCAAAATATACTATTTAAAATTGCAGAACAAACAGCTAAATGGGCTGAATACAAAGAATATAGATTCTCTGTTGTACACTGAATATGTAAGTATCAATATATAGGAGAAAAGTGCGGCTGCAGTTACAAGGCTATGGCTAAGGTGGAGCTAAATACAGTACCCCATATATGGCAGCATTCTGCACTACATGAACATACCTTGGGTAATGTCGATTAAAGTATCTGATGACTATACTCCATCATCACCTATCCTTTTTGAGAGATAGAGGCAGTGAACATAAGTTCATTACTTCAGTTTAGCAGTAAGACAACCTAAATAGCTTCTTGCATTTAGAGGCTTCTGCTTCTCCTACTTGATTCTATTACACCCAGAGAAAATTCTTTGAGAAATGATTTGTGCTTTTAATATACTTCATACGCTTAAATCTGTGCATGTTACAAAATCATTACCATCTTAACAGGTCACTGATGTAAGAAATCAATAGCAAGCTAGGAGTGAAATCCGATTCAAACTCCCCAGCTCCCGGCTGTCTCAACAGTTTGCTACAATAGCTCTTCCACTGTTCACTTTTTTTTGGGGTATAGATAGATTTCAATAGATTTCACCATCTATTATTGCACATGGTAAAAGATAATATGAGGCTTCAGCCAAGTAACATGGAGCTTTTTCCCAAATAAACCCTATTGCTATGTCTAATTTGGAACAGTAGAGCACCAGTAACTTAACAAAAGCAGCTACAAGACTTTGCTACTAGCCTGCAAGTCTTTCACCACTTCTAGTCTGTGAAAGCTTTTCAACAGATTCCTTGGGTACCAGAATTATGAATCATTACGAAGAGGAAGGATATTTCATCAGAACAGTCTGACTTTTAGTTTAAGGATTCATTCCTACCACCAATTGTCACACCAACACATGCGCACATACGCATGCTCTCAGACTTCACTGAATTTACCTTTCCTTTCTATCCCTAATAAAATTGCTGTGCTTTAGAGACAGCCCATCTATATAAAGAGAAGGAATTAATTATCATTGCAATTTTCCTTTTAAAAAATACTTCCAAGAGAGCAATAATTGTCTGTAAGTACTGCCCCACTTAAGGATAACATTATTCTCCCTTCAAGTTTCTTGATGCCTCAATCCCTGAAAGATGAAGTGTTAGTATTCATCAGAAGTTCAGTAAGATTTCTGCTGAACTAAGCAAATTAGAAACTCAAGGCTTTTTGTTTCTTTAAAATGCCCATGGTCAAACTCAAAAATGTTTGAAATGATCAGAATGTAAAGTAGATGCTGAAAAATGTCTCCCAGAACAACCCAGAATATATTCCAGTACACTTATGCAGAAGGAAGTGCACCACTGGACAGGAAATCATTATAAGGATGCCCCTCAGTCCTCTATCCAGATTTCTGTCAAGACTTACAGGTTTAAAATTAACTTCTTCAAAGAAGTTCTCAATAAAGTTTCCCAAATAGGGCTAGAGATTAAGCAAGCAGTTTTTGGAATTCTTTTCTTAACCCTGCTTTCCATCTCTAGATTTTTGCCTCTCCAAATGTCCAAGTTTGAAGAAAATTCATGACCCATTTGATAGTTATTTTTTTTTCCTCTCTTCTAAAACCTCCAAGGATCCTTCAGCAGTCTACATACATATGTAAATAGTAGTTTAATGAAGTACTCTACCTACTGGGTGGTACTCACTCTATGCTTCCTTTGCTCCTGCTTCCACCTCATCTATGTTGGAGAAGAGGTGGCACAGGTCAAACAAAAGAGGAAGAATGAGGGAATTCCTCTGCGCGGTGCCTGGTTCTCAAGCTGCCAGATTCCTCAGGATTTTTAGGTTGCTGTGGGTCAGCATGCAAGGAAGAACTGAACGTTCAGTTATTCAAAATCCTTTTTCCTCTCTGGAGCAGAACTTAGCTGCCAATCGTATCTGGAGCTTAGAAGTTTCACTGGTGAGGAATTCAATTCTGGAAAAGGAAACTTGCAGTTGAAGAAAAATTTGGTGTGAATATAAGTAAAGGGGAGCAGCAGACGGGCTACAAAACACTTCCTGCAATACTGTGTACACGCGTGGGGGGTGTGTGTGTGTGTGTGTATACACACATATATACACACAGCCTTACAATTCTGACATTGCCTTGGAAAAGTCTGTATTTCCACGAAATAATTCTGTATTTTTTCAAATAAACCCCACAGCATTTAATGATTAAAATAACACAACAGAATGAACAAATGTTTTATTGGCATGTTCATTGTTGTAAACAGCATCTGGCATGAAAAAGTTTACCAAAATCTTTTGATTGTTATAAATTAGGTGGTTTTCCAAAAACTACGGAGAATTATTCTCTATTGATCTTTTTGGACCAAAGCAAAAAATTGCTGTTCCTAGGCTTTGCAATGAAATCATGTTGACTGCATCAGTCTTTGCACCACAACCTGAACTACCAAGTTTATATGTTGAGGTGTTAGAAGTTGCCCCAATATTTGACTACATATAGCTACGGAATCAACTCTGGGAAAAACAAAATGACTTTCAGTGAGTGGAGAAGATGCAAACTCGTAATAGTCTCAAAAACAAAATGTACAAAAAGTAGCTGAACAAAACAAAAACTTCATTAACAAGGGGAAATACAACCCTAAAGTACCCAGCATCGTCAAACATAAAATGAATACAAATTTAAATAGGCAACTATACTTCCAAATGTACACAATTAATGTTGATATGTGAAAAGAAATACCATGGTAAATAGCTGAACTGCAGTTCTGTTGAATGGATAGGGCAAATTTTATTTACACATTGAACGCAATATAATAGAGCTGCTCATCGGCTTCTGTAACCTATTAAAAACCAGTTTACCTTACAACAGCACTTCTGCAAAATGAACCAACACCTGCTGGCAGCTTTCTGCAGACACCTCTCAGCCTACCTGTTTTATGGAAGAATATTCTAAAACCTTACACTTGCAGCACTTCCGTTTCATCTTCGACCCTTTTCTGCTGCTTTTCTAGAACCAATGTATTAACATTTACTTCAGACTCTCTGATGAGGTAATGCGTGTATCAGTGAAACAAACAGAAAAAAGGATTCTTTCATGGCCTTTGCACAGCTTTTATTATTAAGCTATGAGTATCCTGTTTGAGGCTAGTTTCACTAGCTACTATGTGCACACCGTCCTCAAAAATTTCCACTCATTTCCCTCCCCGCCCACTTTTTAGTTCTAATCTTTTATTTGCACATCCCTTTTAGCTTTACAGTACATTTGACTATAGTGCACAACATGATTCCAAGTCAAACAGTGACCCAACGGGGCACTGCGCTTCTGATTGGTAACACAGCCCAATCAGTGCTGGTGTCAGCGCTTTACACCTAATGAGTGTCCTGCCGTAATGGCACTACACAGTAGTAGTGAACCTTTTTATTTAAACAAAAAAATTCCCCAGGGAAAATGCTATAGCGAGTATCAGTCTTGAGTCAAATCTTTATTTGGTGCTCCATCCAGATAAATTTTTAGTGCTTTTTCTTTACGAGGAGAGTAGGTTACCCGGTGTCCAGTTTTCTGGAGTCTGCTGCTTTCTTTTTTCATCAGTTCATTTCTCTGCTCATCTGTTAGTTCCATTAATTCTTCAGTTTTATCCCTAAAATGAAAATACATGTTAAAACTCAGATTAATACAATGACCATAATTAGATTTCTGTAATTTTTTTCACTTGGAGCAACTAAGTAAAAAACACAACTAAGCATAATACTCCTTACAGATTTTCTTCTTCTCCAGACGCTAACAATCTGTCCAAGCCTGCTTTTCTAACAGAGACGTTCAGTATTCTAACTGACAGCAGACCCAAGGGAAAGCCGCAAGAAACAAGCCTATCCTCCTCCATCTGCCTGGTATCTCCTATTCTTTATAGACAACTGTGACTCTGCTCTTTATTCAGTCACAGTGCCAACAGCTGGAAGCAGCATGTCAGCCAGCCCCTCCTCGAAACTACCAGCTGCTCTCCCAAATAATTTTCTTCAAGGCCAGCACATTACCAACCAGCTGTTTCCCACAAACTCACCTGGAATTATGAAAAATACTGTAGAAGCAATGTGTTCATGAGGTTCCCTCACCCCCCAACTTTAGCAGACATGACAATATTCAAGCTCTTAGTCCTCAAATAGTACCTTTGGGCTACTGCCGCCAGCTGATGAACATTTTTCATGTTAAATTTTTTATCATGACATCCTTTTTTCCAAAGAAGCCATACTAATTTATCAAAGAAATAAACTCGGAAAATAAAATCCTTGCTCTCTAAAACCTAAGGCAAGACTTTC